CAATGCAATAAATTCTAACTCTTATCTTTAATCTCATTGTTAGAAAAAAGGTAGATCATTATCACTTCACTTCAAAAGTGCTAGAACAATACAGCAACAGCGAGTAGATTGTGTGTATAGGGACGAGTCTAACAAGCTAGTTGATTGCCTTCTATTACTCCCAGCAGGAAGATTTTCAGAAAATCTTAGCCATGACAGCAGGATGACATCGATTCTTGAAAAGTTGCGTGAAGCTAAGTATGTATACTGAAACTGGGAAGCATCCACGTTGATAGCAAAACGAGAATCGACGTGTTTTGACGTAGGAGTGAAGGCGATAGCCAAGATCCTCAGGGTTCTCCTGGTGTTACTTATAAACTTACTACAGATGCACAGTATGGTATTGAACACAAAAAACAGTGCGATGTTGCAGCAAGTATCTACAAAAATAGTGCGGTGTATCTCAACACTTTTCAGAAAGAAATTTAAACGATTAGTGATGACCAAGGTGTAAAGCTTAGCCATTACAGTAAAATGTGTGCTAAAAAATTGCAAACTTGGAGCATAAACTAAATACAGTTAAAAAGGTTGTATCCCAGATCCATATTATAACTCTAGAAAATATTTGAACCAGATGTGTAAAACCAATGATCCATGGATTTCAGTCTTATTCGCTTATCAGCTGTCAATCAGGGTGGGTCGTAAGAAGAAAATGGTTTTGAAAGAGCTCCAAAAACCAGCTCATCGTAACTATTCACGTCAAAAGTATAATATTCAAGGTTCACATAAGGTATGGCAGAATTATTTTGTGAAAATGATACCTTACGCTCGTGAAAACAAAGGTCATAGGTACATGCTAACTGTAATTGATGTATTTTAAAAGTATGCATGGGCAGTACTTGTAAAGAGAAAATGTAGAGAAAATGTTACAATAGTGATGAAGTTTGTATTACAAAATGGTTGAGTACCAAAAAATTCGCGTACTAACAGAGAAAAAGAATTCTATAATGAAAGTTTTCAAGACCTCATGCAACAATATAATATTAATTTCTATTTGACATATAGTAAACTCAAAGCATCAACATGTGAACGATTCAACCGCACTTTAAAAAACAAAATGTAGAAAAAAGTTAGTCTTTGTGGAAATTACAAATGGCTTGATATCTTACCAGATCTACTTGTAGCGTACAACTCTCGCAAGCATCGAACAATTAATATGAAACCTGCCTTTGTCACAGGCGGCAATAAAGCTCAAGTTTAAAAAATTCCCGACTAATGATTAAATAATGAAAAGGCCAAAATTTGAAGTTATTGATGAAGTGCGTGTAATTAAAGCTAAAAATACCTCTGAAAAAGGCTACACGCTAAACGGGTCAACTGAAATATCTGCCGTTTGAAAAATACTGAAAACCAACCCAGTCAGATATCATCAAAAAATTATAAGAGACAATTGGTCTCTGGTGGCTTTTACAAACAAGAGCTTCTAAAACTTAAGTATACACATGTATATCTGGTAGAAAAATTCATTAAAAGATGTTGTGATATGGTTTATGTTAAGTGGTTAGTATGTGATAAATCACATAACAGTGGGATTTATGAGTCAGATATTTAAGAAAGAGAAAGAAAGTGAAGGGGACCCTGTCCAGCACCCTATTTTGTGATGAACAACCTTTTATGCATTTTACGTTTATTAAATCTATATTTTATTTATTTACAGATTTATAAATTAATACTCATTATCACTATGATGTAAAATAAATGAAGCATATTTCTAAGTATTTCTCGTAACTCATTATATAAATTATCGTTGGCTTCTATTGTTTTTGAAACATGATGTGCAATGGAGACTTAAAATTTATCATTGATGGTGATGACTACCTTGCATCTGAAGTATGTATTGACCTTCTTCAGATTGGTCACCATGTATTTTCATTCATTTTCTAGCTGTGACAATCTCATTGTTTGGAGGTCGTTATTGTTAGTGATACGGTTTAATGCATCTAAGTCCATTTCACTGAAACAGAAATAGAGAAATACAAGTATACAACGGATAAGAGTGAAATAATCGTAATTTATCTCAGAGATATTTTGCTTTTTTTCTTGGAGGTGAGCATTCCCAAAGAGTTAGTAAGCTTTCCAGCTCTCTAAGCGAAAGAATGAGTTCTGTTGGTTAACGTGGCTCTATTTGTAGCTCTCTCCCACCGCTTTTTCCCCTTCACTTCTCCTTCCATTTTTTTCTTACCAATTCTTCCTCTACTTCCTTATCAACTAGATAAACAAGCATGTTTAATAGCTAAAGATTCTCATCATGGAGAGTGATGTAACCCCATGGTAGTGTATGTGTACCGTCCAGAAGTAACTGACGCTTATCAATTTGTGGACTGAGAGCTATTTTTCTTTGTTGCTCTGAACGGACGATGTATAATTTTTAGCTGATATTGTTTTCTCGCACATGACTGTAGACTTGTTAAAATGGCAGTTTTAGTAGTCATCGAAGCCGGTTTTGGTGATAGCCATTTTACATCCTTCGCTTTCTTAATTAACTTTTCGTTTTGTACTTAGATACATTACATCATGCATGGTAGTCGAATGAATTCCGTCATGATTTTACCACAACACTTCTTCTTCATCAGTTCAATGAATTTCTTAGTAATCAGAGGCAGATCAAACTAATTGTTTGATTTGTGGTCTGATGTGTGAAATCTTTTGATATCTTGTCTCATAATTTCGTAGATATTTTGACCAAAAATCTCATACATTAAGCTGTAAGTATTGGTATACAACAGTTTAGACTCGCTAGATCGATTCTTCATGTATGAGTAGTGGAAATCAAAAACATATATATACACATAAGGATCTTTCATATGTCTAGCACATTCAAAGTAACATATAATGGTTTTTTCACACTTTTCTTTGTACGTGTAAGTTGAATATCTGCGAGATTATCAGCGAAGATCGAGCAACTGTTTAAGTTTGGTTGTGCAATAAGTGTTTCTGCACTACAACGTCTTTTCTACTTATTGACAAGCTTGAAATCTACTCGTATTTGCTCGTTTCCCATGATTTTTTCATAAACGGCGTTGATAAAGAGTTTGAACAAGGGCTTTTTAAACCTATTTATGCTCTGTGCATGATTCTCCGTATTTAGATAAACGTATGGTTTGAGCCATTGACTTTCTTAAAAGTGCAGGTTCTATGGACTTTCTTGATCGCTAGTCCATGTATGAGAGCTTGCTTCTGTGCTTTATAACGTACAACGTATCGTTTTTTGTCATACAATGTTGTCAGGAGCTTATGCTGCATGGAGCAAGGTGGAGCCAAATGTTGGGGGCAGAGAGGTTAATCCTTATAATCATCGTGGATAGCTGTTCGGTACATCAGATCTACTTCCAATATGTAACCGTAACGATCATCATATGATACATCAAAAAAGTTCGATTCCGTGACGTACTCAACCCATTAGAAGTTTTCTCTCAGTAATGCCTGTGTCATCGCCCATCCATTCAAGTTATTCGCATTAAAGTATATGAGGTACTTGTGACAATAAACGGCGAAAATTAGATATTTTCCTAGAAGTTTAATGATGTGGCTCTACTAGATTAAGCGTAGTTAACACTTCTGTATGTTGTATAAAGCTGTTTCTCACTGTAGCTGTAACATGCACATGTGCATTTATTACGTTTGATCGATCGCATCGTCAATCAAACTTGTAGGTGATTCACTTTTTTTCAGATGCGTGCTAGTTAACGTTTTTCAATTTGGCGTAGAAAACTGTGAAAGAAAGTTTAAAAAAGTAATGGTATTATACCGTGTTACAATGCATTGATGAGAAATTCTAATACATTTTTAAGAAAAGTAAATGAAAAGTCTAAAATTCAGTAATAAAAAGTTGAAATATGTTGAAATAATTTAGGTTCAAAATTTTTTTATTTTCTTTAAATTACAGATGCAAGCATATTAGGTTGAAAGCGTTAGGCAAAGTTGTAATGGTTTTATTTTTTTTCATGCATGTTTTCATTAATTGTTGTAGTAGAAATTCGATTCGATTTCTTAATTTTGTGTAAGATACATGTGAAGTCTACAAAAATTAATAAAAAAAAAACAATACTTTTAAAGACGAACGTATTGACTATATTATCTTAAAATTTTTCTGTTTGGAAACTTAATAAGAAGTTTTGATTTCTTGTGAAGTAGGAAATTTGGGGGTTAGTGTGGAAAGCGTGCCCCACTTACATACATACATACATATTCATAAATATTTGTGACGTCAACTTACAAATATTACAATCCATAAACATAACAATACTTTTTTATGATGCAAGTTTGTACATGAAAGCTTACAGCACAAGTATATTACTGCTTAAAGCATTTCAAACATAATTGATAAATACTCTGTTTTATTGCACAGTCTGGTTTTCTTTGAAGTCGAACCAAATTGTTATGTTACTATGATCAGAATCTTCATACTGCGTAGAAAAAGCATAAGTTATTTTTTGCATGATTTTGTAATAATTAAGAAGTTTATGTACAATTAATTAAGAAAATGTATCTAATTTCTTCGTAGATTTATAAGAAAATTTCAACTTAAAGTTCATAATTTACAGTATTTTAAAACAATAAAAAAAGATTTCAGTTTAACAATCTGTCACTTAAAGTTTTACTTTTTTTCTGATTGTGTTTTAAATCTCCATACTTAATATGTTACGAGTTTCTTGTAACGGTCTTTTAATATTTTCGGCGTTAATCCTACATTGAGTTTGTAGATGTGTATAAGTGATAAGTGTTTAATTTCATAGGAAAATTTTGTAATGTATTACAACTTATTTTCTAGTGAGATATTATTACTTTTTGTTTCTTAACTGACAAAAAGCAATATGAATTTGTCTAACTTGAATTAAATTGTATTGAATTTGATTTATGTAATGTTATTAATGATTTCTATTAACTAGGTTTTTGAATGATTGTATAAAATTTAATACTCTAATTACCTTTTACTAAACTACAACACTAAATTTTTTCAGGTAATAAAGACATTAGCTTGTCAAAACAACACTTTGTCAGATATAGAACATGGAGGTAAACTGCCTGCTCTAAAACAATTATTGCTTGATTGTGGAATTGGTCAGTCTCAAAATCAACATTCACAGCCAGGTGCACTTGAAAATCAATCACAAATGCAGTTAGTAAGTCAACACAGAGCTCTCATATTTTGCCAATTAAAGGCTATGCTAGACATTGTCGAAAATGATCTTTTGAAAACACATCTTCCAAGTATTACGTATCTTCGACTTGATGGAAGTGTGCCGTCTTCTCAACGACACTCACTTATAACACGTTTTAATAATGATCCAACAATAGATGTACTTATGTTAACTACTCAAGTAGGTGGACTAGGATTGAATCTTACTGGTGCAGATACTGTTATTTTCGTAGAGCATGATTGGAATCCAATGAAAGATCTACAAGCAATGGATCGAGCACATCGAATGGGTCAGAAAAAAGTTGTGAATGTCTATAGATTGATAACAAAAAACACACTTGAAGAAAAAATAATGAGTTTACAAAAATTCAAACTTCTTACGGCCAATACCATTATATCAACAGATAATACATTACTGCAAAGTATGAGGACGGAACAAGTAAGGCTTTAATAATATAAAAGCTTCTAATGCTGCCTAAAGTTATTTATTTTTTACAGCAACTCTTAATGTATATAATATTGATATTATCAAACCTATTACTTTTATGGTTTGCTTTCATAATCATGCTATTTTCTGTAATAACAATATATGTCTACTTGTGCCCTAAATTAGGTTTCCAAACATAGATACCAAACTTTGCCTACTTGATGATTCATGTATTTAAACATTTTTCTCAGAGTGTCATGATACAGAATCACATTATTTGTAAGATAAATAATAGATAAATAACGTAAATTTTTTTAATTTGAAAGGAACGCAAGGTTGGAACACAGAGTTTGTGATATTTAAAAAAATAATATGTACTACAACATTATCAGATAACGAGATTCAACTACATAGAACACCTTAAAAAGACACGTTATAACTGCATTTAAATGATCATTTTGCTTTTGTTTTACACAGTTTCTATTCGCACGTACATCGATGAGTTGATAAAATATGCATCCAACTCAGAAAGTTAGTGAAAAGGGAGTCAACTCAAATTTAAGTTAAAAAATTAGTCAACTTACATTTGGTTAAAAAAAAGCTATCTTGGATTTGTTTTAAAGAAACAGCCAATTTAAGGGTAGTTTTTTTTTATCAAGCTTCGTCGTGGTAGCACGGACATTTACAATATAGGTTATCTATCTAAACGAACAGATTTTTCAACCATCTAATGTTTCAGGAAATAATTTATGTTATTGTAATAGAGCGCACTATACTTATTTAAATTTGTGCTCTACAAGTCTGTTGTGATCAGATGGAATTTTTGATTAAAATGTGACGTAATTCATTTTGAATACTCTTTAAAAAAATTTAATTTAAATTCTTCTATTTTTAAACATTGTCTTGAATAAAGAACATATTTAAAAAACAAATTTTTTTCTCATGAAATAAAGTGTAAACAGTTAATGTACTTTTTTGTTTTTCATTCTAGTTAACAAATAAATCGATTCTCTGTCATTGCAGCCTATTATCTTACATTTTTTTTTCTGCGATATTCTTTTACAAGAATGATGAAGTATCATAAATTAAAATTTCATATTTTTGCAAATTAATATACATACGTTTGTGTACAAAATTGTAGTCATTATTTATTCAGCATTATCTCTTCCTTCTATAATCGCAGCAGACTAGTAGAGCACATAATTAAGTAAGTATTGTACCCTTTATTACAATAACATAAACCATTTTTCTGAAACATTAGATGTTTGAGAAATTTCTATTCGTGTGGATTGGTATTCCTATATTGTAAATGTCAGTGCTACCATGACAAAACTTGATGGTAAAAATAAAGCTCGAGTTGGCTGCTTCTTCAATCCAAATGTGAGTTAGCTTCTTTTTTAAGCCAAATCTGAATTGACTGCTTTTTGAACCCAAATTTTAGTTGACTGCTTTTTGCTAACTCCTTAAGTTTTTTACGGAGCCGTCTATATCCACATAATTACGTAGATTTACATAGATATGTGTATGTGTGATTGGTATCTTCATTGTCGCTACTTATAGGGTTATTGGTTAAACTGGTTGAAAAAATTAGTTTTCATACTAGTTTCATCTCAAATATTATCTACAATAATTATCCAAAGCGTTTCAACTCTAAGTTTTGAAGTAAAAAAATACGTGATATTTTGTCAAAGTCCATTTTGGTCAGTTCGTAATTTCCTTTTAATCCCTATAACTTCCGATTACTAGCATCAATTTTATCAAACTCTTGTTTAATCAATAAGGCTTTGTTTCAGCAGTCATTTTTGATCGCGTTTACTCCTTTGCTACTAGTGTTGGAAGTGAAATCAATATTCATCGATGTATCTTACGAAAAAAAGGAGATGAGACTCAACACCAAGAGATGTGTCTTATGTTTTAGTCCAACAAAACTGGAAAAAAGTGTCGTGAAGTTCCAACGCACAAAAGCTAGAGAAAAAGACACTTTTACTATTGAAGGGTACGGAAGTCATAAGTATGAAAGTGACATTTTGAGCTTTGGAGTACTATTGTGGCTCGTAAACTTAATATAAGGAATTTTCCGCTTACGAAACATTTGTTATCAATGAAAAATACGAGAAAAAAAAAATTTGAGATACCTGTATGAGTAACATAGCAGTGGATCGAGGGGGGGAAAGAAAATGACCAAATTTTTATACACTCAAAAATTGAAAGTTAAAGCATGTATCAGTTAAAGAGATTAAAATTTCTTACAGCTTTGGCTTGTGTGTTTGTCTTGTCAAAATGTAAGAGTAGAAAAGTGACCCCTATAAAATGTTATAAAAGACTACAGTAAGTTTTTCAAAGTAATTTTCACTATCATAAACATTTTAGTGCGAGGATATGTCAGAAAAGCTTATTTTTTTCCTAGTAGGAGGTTTTAGCTGTGAAATTAAATAGGGACAGGATACGAAGGTTACATTTTGGCTAAAATTTTTTATTTTTTTTTATCAAGGAGTCAGTGTATCAGCATGAAATTTGTTTTCAAGATACGTAATACTATTTATACAACTTCAAGCAATTTAAACATCTAACTTTAGATTCTTGTAGAAGCATGAGGTCTGGAACCAAAGTGAGCAGAATCACTCATATACTAGTAGGACTCTGCTTCTTGGGCGCTTCGTTAACCAACCTCCCCGTAGTAGATAATCGTGAGATGTAAACTCATTATTTGAATTTCATCTTCATCGTAACATACAATTTTAGCTTATTCGTAAAAAATGACGAAACGAACTTAAGCTGGACGCTGAGGGTGTTCAGTTTACAAGTTATGTTCATTGCGCTACAATTACATCAAAATTCTCTCTCTTACAGTAGTAACGCTTTTCTTGTCTCTACTTTGCCTTTACGTGCAAAATAAAAACAAAGATTGTTGCCTGTATTAATCTTTTGTTTATCTTGTCTTAACCACTAGTTATTTCCACTGTATTATTTCAATGTACAAACCCAGAATGCTAGAGACATTTAAATTCAACTGTTCTGCTCAACAGACAGTCAGCTCACAACCACTGTTGAGAACGCTCCTCTGACAGCAAGCATTTGTAGTTAATTTTGTTAACAAATTTGTACATAGTTATTTGCAACGTTATGATTTGTTAACCTCCGTTCCCGATTTATACTTGCAATAATTGCCATCTCAGAATTACTTCCCGGCGCAAACATTTTGGTAGCAGAGCATGGTTCCGGGGACCATTTAACCATTGGTGTAGGGTCGAGACTTGCAACTTGTGCTGACTCCAAGTTTGGCTGTAACCTGTTTAGTATTGGGCGTGTTGTGTGTGTGCTCGTAAAAAACTTCACGAGTTTAAGTGCAGTGCGGGTAATCTCCGTCACTGCATCGTCAAGATGGGTGGTCATTAACTTCAACACACTTTGGTTCGTTTGTCACGCACGCTTCACGGCAGTTTTGAGTTTACCATGACGTCAGACTTGAAACCACTTTTCAAAAAACAAGGTGAGTTGTTCCAGTGGATCAACAACGCACACGTAAGTCTGAAAAAGCTAAATAAGAAAAAATTTACACGTACGATAATTCAAGGACGCTTAGAGCAGTTGAGAGCCAGTTGGGATACCTTTCAAATAAATCATGATAAAATTCTCGTACTTCAAGACGATACTGAAGAAACAAGCTATTTCAAAGGTGATAACTATGGTGTTTCAGAGCAGGCATATCTTGATTCGACTGCACTTCTTTCTGAGGAGCTGCAGAAGCTTCTTGCGCTACCAAAAAGTGATAAAATCGTGCCCTTGGCTGTGCTAAGAAGTCTCCCACCAAAAACTGTACCAACATTTTCTGGTAAGTTTTAAGACTGGCTAGAATTCAAGGATTTGTTCAGAGCTATCGTCGTAAGTTATTCTTGGCTAAGCAATGTCGAGAAGTTGCAGCACCTAAAGACACGTGTCCAGGGTTAAGCAGTAGAAATGCTGCGTACGGTACAAACGATCGATGCGAACTTTGAAGCCGCATACACAAACGAGTGGTGCTTGATCATCACATTTACCAGGGATTTGCTTTCCCTGCCAACTGCATCAGATTCCGCAAAAGAGCTAAAGGCATTGCTTAGTGGCACTGTGAATGCCTTAGCTGCACCTAAACAGCTAGACCGTCCTACTGCTCATTGGGATGACCTGGTGGTGGCGCTCATCATCCGGAAGCTTGACGCACAGGTTCTGTGAGAATGGGAGTCCTCGCAGACATCTACCACTAAATGTTCTACCACTGCTGCGATGAAGCTCTTCATCGAGCAACGTATGTCAACGCTTGAGATTGTCGACGCCACTGCAGAGACGTCAACTTGCAAGAAGGCTGAAAGCAGCTCTGCCTTCGCGCAGAACAGCGTAAGCGAGAAATGTTGCCTGTACAAAGGCAAGCATTTGATGATGCGCTGCGTTGAATTCAACGCCAAAAGTCCGCAAGAAAGAAAGCAAATGTTGAAGCTAATGGCCTGTTCATAAACTGCTTGGGTATGCACAAGCTTGTAAGCTGCAAGTCAAGCAAGCGTTGTCAGACTTGCAACGGTAACCACCGCTCCATGCTGCATGAGACTGCAACGTCTGTGTACTTTTCAGCATATGCTTAGTCGGCGGCGCTCGCCAAAGGATGTCACATAAATTGCAACTGGATTACTTCGTCAGTCAACTGAACGTTGGTCCCCACTGTCCCAGTCAGGAACACCTCTAGCCCAGTGCACCATCTTCGGTTGGGCCCTCTCTGGTTCTGTAAATGCATTAATATTGCTAGCGCTTGCTTCTTATTAAGTGACTTAGATAAAGACCTTTCTTCTCTTCTTTTGTTTACATTTATTATGCTTCAATATTCCGTTTTATTCACTCACGTAATAAGCGGGCGGTATGTTCAGTTTACAAGTTATATTCATTGCGCTACATTTATATTAAAATTCTCTCTCTTACAATAGTAACGCTTTTCTTATCTCTACTATCTCTTTACATACAAAATCAAAACAAAGAACTTCTAC